CTCTGTAGGGTCAGCAGAGTGAATCCACACAATATCAGACAAAGCTCTCCCCTTCCTCACAAACAAGTGTGACACTCACTGAAGCAATCTGAGCGTTTGAGGAGGGAGCCCTGTGTGTGCGGACGGCGTTTCTATGGAAACGGATGTGGGTGATTCATGGAGCGTGTCAGGACAAAAAATACATTTCACATCTGCATGTGCGTGTGAGAGAGAGACATAGAGTGGGCATGGTGATGCTTTAATGTTTTTGAGTGTTTAAGAGTGTTTTAATATGCCAGAGTGTATTGAATGTGTGAGTGTTTGTATGTCATGAGGGCAGTACTGACATTGTACCAAATAGAAAATATAATTAGTCTTATATAAAAACAAATGTCTATTGTAAATCCTTATTCAGAGACGCATGACAAGGACAGACTGAAGACTTGTTTGTACTCTGTAGGGTCAGCAGAGTGAATCCACACAATATCAGACAAAGCTCTCCCCTTCCTCACAAACAAGTGTGACACTCACTGAAGCAATCTGAGCGTTTGAGGAGGGAGCCCTGTGTGTGCAGACGGCGTTTCTATGGAAACGGATGTGGGTGATTCATGGAGCGTGTCAGGCCAAAAAATACATTTCACATCTGCATGTGTGTGTGAGAGAGAGAGACAGAGAGTGTGCATGGTGATGCTTTAATGTTTTTGAGTGTTTAAGAGTGTTTTAATATGCCAGAGTGTATTGAATGTGTGAGTGTTTGTATGTCATGAGGGCAGTACTGACATTGTACCAAATATTCATTAAATGCTCTTCAAATACATCAACTTCAAATTATTATTGTATATATATATATACACAAAACCTCAACACTGCAATACTGCAAATTACTATTGTATATATGTAAAGAAGTTTTGTTTTCTGTGAAACTGATCGGAAATGAAGTGAGTTTATGATTAAAACAAGAACAAATATCTGCCAATGGGCTCTAAAAAATGAAATTAACTCAAAGGGCAAACTATAGCTTTCATTCCCACTGACAGATTTTTCTTTTTGTTATCAGCATTAGCTCACTGAATTTTGTTCAGCTTTCCAATACTTAATTTTAAATTTGCATCTCAAGTAAATGCATCTTTATTTATGAATATTTAGACATTTGAATTTTAAAACAAAAATACTGACATAGACATTCATTCATTCATTCTTTTCAATGCATGCCACATATAATGCCATGAATTTATGAATTTAAGACTTTCTGCTCTAATTGAAGCTCTTTTTAAGCCCTTAAATTGTGAAAGCACAAATTAAGACTTTTTAAGATCAGCAGAAACTCTGATATATATATATATAATTCATTTAATATTTGTGATCATCTTAAAGAAAACAAATGTCATTGAGTTTAAAAACATATGAAAACGTATGCAAAAAAAATCCTAGCCACAAACAAAAACTGAAAATCATGTTCTACTCACAGTCTCACAGGAATAACTAAAGGCTCAGTGTCGCGCTCAAGGGCACAGTGCTGATGGAAGACCTCCAGTTTACAGATCTTCCTGCTGCTAGACTCAAACTACTTCCTTTTACAATCTCATTTTATCTTTTAAAAACTTTTATTATGAGCAAAAATAGTGGTGATATCAAACTTGATATTCTTCACCTGCCAGTAGATTTAATACACTTTGATCAATGACTAATAGTTGCCAGACAATAACACAACTGCAAGACTTGGCTCAGAGTTTAATTTAGTTTTACTCTTGTGCATCAACCTGAAGTGGAGTTATCAGTGCCTTAATAAAAGTCCATATTATATATATATATATTTTTTTTTTTTATCAGAATTTTGCAGAAATTTGTTGCAGTGATAGTTCACCCAAAAATAAAAATTGTTATTATATACCCACCCCCCCTTAAATTCTTCCAAACCTGAGTTTGCACGAGTTTCCTCCTTCTGTGGAAAACAAAAGGAGATTCTGATGAATGTTGGTAACCAAACAATTGACGGTAGCCACTGACTTCCATAGTATGGAAAAAATACAATGGAAGTCAATGGCTACCATCAAGTGTTTGGTTACCAACATTCTTCATAATATCTTCTTTTGTGTCTTCTTTTGAGTAAATTATGACAATTTTCATTTATTGGTGAAGTATCCCTTTAATAATGACATTGTTAAAGAGAAAGTGCGTATTTTATATATTTTTTTGCTTGCTCCTTTCCCAGCTTAATGTGCAGAAGCATACCTAAAAAAAAACACACACATTAATGGTCGGAGAGTGTTTAAAAAACAGATTAACAAGATGTTTGAAAACATGACAGAATCTGTAACTTATTCACCTTCCGACATCTGGACTCCTCGATCCTCTCAGTATTGAGTTAATACCTAAAGCTGCAAATTACCACAAACACCAGAACAGAGGGAGAGATGACCTTGTTTCTCCATAACCGAAAGCATAAAACAGCTTTACAGGCTTTGCTAAGGAGAAACTGGTGCTCAGTATGATTGTTTTCTCTAGCTCATAACCTCCATCTTTCCTTCTTGAGGCTAAAACAACACAAGATGTGTGTATTTTTGGGTGTGTATTTTTAAATGTTGTGGTCATCATGTAAATCATGCCTCTGGAAGGTGAATGACATTAATGTGATACTGAAAATGTTGAGAACACACACACACACACACACACACACAGCAGACCTAATCTGTGCTGCTCTGACATACTGATGAATAAACTATGAAGGAAGGAAACTGAACTGAATGTTACACTATTAACATGAGAGAAAGAGATTAAATATAAATGGCTCTGTGATTTCTGCTGTGATGAAAGATTAGATTGTACGGAAATATTTCCTAGGAGTTTTAAGAGTCAAAACATCTATTAGCAGGCCTTTTAACATGCAAAAAAACACACGGTTGTTTCTGTGCTGTGGCCCTCACTGTGACATCTGATGAATAATTCTGGCAGTAGTGCACTGTGAGAGCTGCTCAGCCTCTATGATTTTAAGAACACAAGGTTTGAAATGCTCATTTAAGGATAAAAGGAAAAACACTTTTGTGGCCCCTTATGTGACTAAGCATGAGTCAGATGCTCTTCTGTACTGTGATTTTCTTCCAGTCTTCATTAAGAGATGTGACAGATGTGGAAGTTCTTCAAATTTAGAATTAATCTCCACCCAAGAGGTAAAAACTGACTCGTACGGCATTCATGAAAAGCTTCTCCTGACTCCTGATGAGCTGCCAAACAAATACTGCTTAGAATCATCAACGTCCTGCTCAAAGTCAGTCCACTTTGTGGCCATCTTGTTAATATTCCTGGGTGGCTATTTGCAAAGCTCTACTTAAATGAGACTCTATTTAAATATAGAAATCTATTAAAAATACAGAAATCTCTAAAACTGTTTGGCAAGATTATGTTTCTATAAAACGCCAAAGCACGCAAAACACTAAATATTTTTCTTAAATTAGGCTTTTTAAAAAATGTGTCGATTGCAAGTGACGTCGCAGGTATCGGAGAGTGCAAGTGGCGATTGCAAGTGACATTGTAATTTAGTTTCTTTTTTCTTGTCTTCACCACCTGGCTACTGTTGTAAAATGTTGAGAGATTCAAACAAAAAGTAATCAAAAATAGAACAAAATAAAAAATAAAGCCTGCAAGTGATGTCGCTAGCGGAAGCGCAAGTGTCTGAGAATGCAAGTCTGAGAGTGCAAGTGCGAGGCTGCAGCCAGACCCTTCTCACGGTTTGACTTAACAATCTAGGTCGTAGTCTTACAGATGAAACAAACTGGCTACTGTTGTAAAATGTTGAGAGATTCAAACAAAAAGTAATCAAAAATAGAACAAAATAAAAAATAAAGCCTGCAAGTGATGTCGCTTGCGGAAGCGCAAGTGTCTGAGAATGCAAGTCTGAGAGTGCAAGTGCGAGGCTGCAGCCAGACCCTTCTCACGGTTTGACTTAAAAATCTTCGTTTGAGTTCTACTGAAGAAACAAAGTCACCTACATCTTGGATGCCTTGGGGGTAAGCAGATAAACATCAAATTTTCATTTTTGGGTGAACTATCCCTTTAAATGTGTAATTACACCGTAACAAGGACACCTTAAAATAAAGTGTAACCAAATTATTTTGCAATTAAATGCTTTTCTTTTGAACTTTATATTTGTCAAATGTTATATTCTTTATATTATGAACTTCATATTAGGGCTGTGCAATTAATCGCATGCGATTGTCATGCGCATCTCGTCAGTAAAGCCGGTCCCGTGATTAGTAGTAAATCTCCATCACCTGTTTCAGATGGAGCGGCATTCACTACACAGAGCCGTAGTTCACTGACAAGCTAGGCGATATCGCGTTCATAATTGAATGCGATTCATCTGCGATTATGAACGCGAAATTGCCTAATTGTCAGTGAACTACGGCTCTGTGTAGTGCATGCCGCTCCATCTGAAAGCAGGTGATGGCGATTTACTACTAATCACGGGACCGGCTTTACTGACGAGATGCGCATGACAATCACATGCGATTAATTGCACAGCCCTACTTCATATTATATTATAAAGTAAAGCATGTAACTCAAAATGATCTAAAATTATGCTTGCTCTTTTTTGTTTGACTGCCACAGGAACTCTGGCTCAACCAATGGTGTACTCAAACCTGTTTGGCTGAACAATTCTGTTTTTAAGTAATTAACCTCTTCCACTTTAACTCTCTAGAACCCTCCAGAATTCAGGCAGCTAAAAGTCGACCCTTAAAGGGATAGTTCACCCAAAAATGAAAATTCTGTCATTAATTACTCACCCTCCTGTCGTTCCAAACCCATAAGATCTTCATTCATCTTCGGAACACAAATTATGATATTTTTGATGAAATCCGAGAGCTTTCTGACCCTCCATAGACAGCAATGTAACTGAAATGTTCCCACTGAACAAAGGTCTTACGGATTAACAACATGAGGGTGAATACTTAATGACAGAAATTTCATTTTTGGGTGAACTATCCATTTAAAGTCAAAATATTACACTCAGTGTTGTTCCTCACCTCCAAGAGAACCTGGTGCAGCAGTTGGGCTGCGTTCTCCGAGACCTTCCACGGGTCGCTCTCCTCCACCAGCATAGCATCCAGAGTTCCCTTCTCCAAAACCACATCAAACACACCATCGGGGAAGGCTAGTCGCCGGGCGTCCATGCACAGCCAGCTGAGCTGAGCGCAGTCCTTGTGTCTCTCCGCCATGCTCTCCACACAAACACTGGAGTAATCCACATTAGTGATGGTGGTGTAGCCGGCCTGGTACATATCATAGCTCAGAGCACTGTTGCCACAACCTGAGAGAGACAAACAGAGAGTCTGGCAAGTGAAAAAAAGTTTGAGAGTTCTATTACTGATAATTTAGGAGTCACTCTCGCAAATAAATGTGGTTGTCACTTTCAACTTAGACCTACTGCATTCAAAAACTGTTAGGCCAAGCACAACAGAATAGAACAGAAAGACTTGTTCAAAAGTGAGACATTGAAAAACAGCAAATGACAGAGCATAGAACAACAAACAAACAGAGAAAAAAAAACAGCCTGGACTGAAAGCAAGAACACATCCTCTGTGTGAATGACGATGCTAAGTTAGCTTAGCACAAGGCCAAAAAAATCATGGAGCAGCATGAAAGTCTTGAACTTTCTCATAATCAAAACATTCTAATATTAAAATGTGCCACCCGTGTGACTTTTTGGATAAAAAGTCGTCAGATGATTCAAAATCACCAATCTAACCAGAGGTGTGAGTGACAGGAAGTCACATGTTGTGACTTCCTGTTGTGGCACGGGGGTTGGGCATCTCAGCTCCTGAGGCAAGAGCAACTTTAATTATCGCCTCCTTCGTTAGTCTAATTAAAGAGTGCTTAACGAGCAGTCTTACAGAGGGTGTTTAATCAAAGGCATTTTCTTTCAGGCCTTTTTTTTTTTTTTTTTTACAGTTCTTCACCTCAGTCTGTACACTGCATGTAAAGATAAAGTCATGAAGTCATTTTTCACAGGAACGTTGCTGCTCTCAGTGTTATCTGGAAGCTTGCATGCCGTAGTCTCAGCAGGACGACAGGCGTTTCCCTAGAGGCACCTAACAGTACGTTTAAACCAGAGCGTCTCAAACTCTTTAGTACTATAACATACAGGGTCCTGCAAGAAAAAGACAAGACTCTTAAACTCTTTACAGAGCATTTATCTCGATCATGCTGCCACTCTTCTCCGAGATCTCATTACAAAACCGATCTGTGCAAGTGTGCCAGTTTGTGCCAACAAAATTTTTTTTTTTAAATACTATTGTTACTATAGTTACTGTCACTACAATAAAACTGTGGTGACTTGCCATCCAAAAATAAATTACACAATCCAACTTAGATACTAAAAGACAATACAGTATTACTTATATTATCGATTCAATTTAATTAGCTTTAAATGTTTTAATTTTCAGTTTTCATATTAAAGAGGTCATATGTTGCTGCTAAAAAGAACATTATTTTGTGTATTTGGTGTAACGAGGTGTGCTGTGATTGGCCAGCTATCCAGTGCGTTATGATTGGCCGAATACCTCAACCGTGTGACGGATATGTTACGCCCCTACCATACTGTGATGCCGTCCAAAGAGAAAGGAAAACTTGAAATCGCATCATATGACCCCTTTAAAGTAATTTGTTATTTGGTTTTGTCTCTCTTTTTAATTCATATTTTTATTTAACTTTAATTTTATTTCAGTTTTAGTATTTTTATTTATTTAAAGTAAACATTTCATTAGCCAAGGCAGAATTTCTAATTCATCAAACTAATTATATCTAATATTTTACCAATAATATTTATCCAAATGATTTTCAATAGTTTTAGTTAACAATAACAATGCTAAATACTAATTATTAACTTATTTTGGTTTTATAGTAGAAACAATTATGGCCTAAATATGGTATTTTGGTAAAAACTACAGTTAAAATAATTAAAATAATTTCTCAAATTTTTTACATTTGTAATTGCTGCACCAGTACTGGTATCAGATGGAATTGCAATGTGTATGTTGGACATAATAATATTAACTTTTGGACTGTTTTTGGAGGTTTTCCATTTAGGAAACCTGTTTGAAAACAGCCATTATTTCTCCAATTTTGTTTGGTGCCACTAAAAATACATAGCCAAATACCTCTGTAAATGGTGTGCAAACGTTTGAATATGAGACACAGACGTTTTTGTGCTGTTTATTAATACAGTTTATTCACTGCCTCATGGGTGTTAATGGTTTATAAGGTCAAAGGTCATTGCAAGTGTAGAAGGAAAGAAAAATTGAAGAAAGAGAAACACAGAGACAGAGGGAGTGTGTGTTCCTGATCTGTCAACCGCTGCCCTATCTCCACTCATAAACACTCTTGAATTGAATTGTTTCCACTCTCTCCATGACATCACCAGCTACACATGGCCTCTGACCTTTACTACCGCTGCCTCGGCCTGGATCCCCCTCTTCAGAGCTTTCGTTGTGGCAACGAAGACCTGGGAATTTCCAGAGCGGAGACACTAACTAACAGGACAGAATGCTAAAATTAGTCTAGCATATCACACATAGCATTCCTTCATTCCCTGCTCTCTCACTCTCTCCTTCTCCACATAGGGAGACAGAAAAAATTATTCCAGCGTCTCAGACAGTCACGAGACACGTCGGACAAACATCACAAGACCCAGAGACTCGAGCAGAACGTGCCATTCGCAGATGTCTCTGGAACAGAAAGCAATCTCTTGGATTCATGAAGTCTTTCACCAGTCAGGGTCCAATTTCATAAAACCATCTCTCTCTTTAAATTTTTCTGTAAATGGTAAAATTGGAACGTTGCACATCTCAGGCAAATAAACAGTGATCCTCACACCCGTACTATGAGTGAGGATCAGTGGACGTTTTTAATCTTTGAGGAGATGAAAGTGGCTCATCTATGTTTCCTATAATGCCCCGGTGCTGCAGAGATAGTGTAAATGATTTAGCACAATGATGTCATACCAAGCGGAGCATGAAACTTCAAAGTATTACGCAACACCAGCAGAATTAAGACATGACTACAAGCCACTCAAAATTAACTTGTCACACAAAGATATGTTGGACAGAATATTTTTTGGCCATTATTTTGAGATTACTTGACAATAACAGTGTCTAATTGGCTGATTATCAAAGTGGAATCTACTTGCAACCTTATCAATGGATAGGCAAGGCCCCTTTACATCAAGAACAATAATTATGACCATTAAGTTTTGAAACATACATAAACATATACATATGTATATACACACACACACACACACATATACACACACACATACATATATATATATATATATATATATATATATATATAGCTTACCTGTAAAAAAAAAAAAACACCACAGTATTTGATACTTAGCTATAAAAATTTTAGATTTGTTTTCTTTCGTATGATAAACAATAATAGTACCATTATGGATTACCACTGGATGTCCCTTGTAAAATATGGATCATGAAGCAAAACCAGCTGAGAACCATAAATACAAGTGCCATCACTGGCCAGTGGCCACTGAAAAACCTTTAGCGATTGTTCACAACAGACACAACAAAGCAGTTCCTCTGCAGGTCTGTAATGAAAGTACAAGACAGAAACACAAGAAGCGATATAGATTAGCATCTGAAAGATAGGAAAAACATTGTGTACCAGAAATGATCATCACTTTCCTCTGAATTTGTAACTGCTTCGGACATTGGTGTTCTGAACATGCATGTTTTGTCTTGGAAAACCTCCACGCATTTTTCTCTCTATAGTATTAACATTCGCCTTGATGTTACATCCATAAAGACACACACACTCTCGTATAGTTCCTGGAAATGTCAGCTTCACGGAGGGAGCGGCTCTGTTGCCTTGGTGATACGAGATAGAGCGCAGCAGACTGTCTCCCACAGGGCTTTGTTTACCAGCCTCCCAAAGCATACTGGGAATAGCAGATACACAAGAACATATGAACACACAAGAACTGAGAGAGAGAAAAAATAACCATCATCAGCAGGGCTGTAATAATTAGGTCACGAGAGTGCAAACATGTAGGATGAGAGAAGCGGCGAGTACATGTGCGTACGGCTCTAAACATGTTCTTTCCACTATGATAAGTCTGTTTATCTCGGTCACACATACAGAGACTCTGACATCATCTGTCACACACTATCAGGAATATTCTCCAATGAACCATTCAACCAAACTAAACTCATCACTAATGAACTCAGACGTAACTTATTGTTACATGGACACCAATGCATGACTGATATTTTTCGACAACAAGACATAATCGATGGAACTGTGTGTGTGAAATTGACTGTCAGGATATTAGTCTCAGTGTGAAATGTTTCAAATCGTTGAGACAGAGGTCAGAGGTCAAAGCCAAAGTTCACAGACTAAGTACAAATTCAGTCTCTCTGTATTTATAAATAAAAACAGGTATGAATACGAAAACCCTTCCACCTTTGTTCTATATACAATGTATGTAAAAGTATATAGACCTATATAACAAAAGCTGTCTTTATACATAAAGTAACAAACAAATAAATAAATAAATAAATGGGATCAGTCAGTAAAAGGAAATTTTAACTTTTATACAGAAAAGTTGCATTAAATTGATCCGAAGTTACAATAAAAGGCATTAATAAAAGATAAAAAATAAGATTCTATTTGAAATATTCATGAAAACAAATGTCACAGGAATAAAATTACATTTTAAACCATATTAAAATAGAAAGCAGTTTATTTAAATTGTAATAATATGTCACAATATTGCAGATTTTACTGTATTTCTGATCAAATAAATGCAGCCTTGGTGAATATGAGACCTCTTTCAAAAATATTAAAATCTTACCAACCTCACGAGATGTACAGTATATGTCAAGATATATATGGCAAAAAATATAAAGAAATAATTAAAGAAACAAAGAAGCTATTTGAAAGTTCAACACCAACCTTATTAACTATACACATTCATTTCAGTGCCATATTATTAAGGTAACCCAAAAATAAAGTGAGTAGAGCATAGCGATGCTCGAACTCACCCAAAGAAAAAGGGAACAAAGAAGTGTAGCAGCCAAGGCAACATTTCCAATCACCCTCCTGCCAGGCTGCAGTCTGTGCTCACACACACTCATCACAACTTCTCACATACTAGTTTTCACAAGAACACAAGGGAGCCTTTACGTGTATTCTCAAGTGCGTGTTAATATCGCTTTCACTTGAGTGGGGATCGCCGCTTAGTATGTGTGTGTGTGAGCGTGTGTAAGAGAGAGGATGTCCCCTGTTGTG